AAATACATTATATTTGTGTTAGGATCTGGCACAAACGACAACTAACAGATATCTAGAATAGCATATATATTTTTAGTGCAATCATTCAATCAACCTTTAAACAATCACAAGCAATCAAGTGTGCATAATTAGATATCTGAATATTTAATAGTAAAGCAGACGCATTTGGAATACGAACTGGAATTACAGCTGCGCATATTATAAATGATTGATAGCAAATGTATCTTTGTTTGCGAGTAGATACTGGTAAATGTATCTATATCCGTACGTATTTGCCTAGTTTTATATCGAATGATTTAATTATGTGAGATTGTGCTTCTACTACATAAAAATCTCGACCTACTGAGCTATAATATACAATAACCAGTTTGCTATCTAGTCGAAGCATTGAATATACTCACTTGCCATCGCCCTTGTTGTACAAATCGACGATCAGATCAAACATGGATTGTTGACGCAATACCATTTTGTGCATGTTTCCCACGAAGGGATATGGTTTTTCATAGTCTATGCCACGCTCCTTGAAGAAATTATAGTTGGCTGTGCCCCAGCGATAGGCCAGCACCAAGGCGACAACAAATATCGCCAAAAACTCTAATAGCATCTTGAGATAGTTCACCGATCTAGCCAACCCGTACGGTGAGACAACGAAATTCCAACTGAACAACGCGGCGTTCGAAGCGCACAGAAATCAACTAATTGGGTCCCACACGAATAAACGAGTCAAGTGCTTCGCTTCAATGAACGGGAGCTTTTGTTCCGAGCTTTGAAAATGATGAAATTTGTTAAATAAATATAATATTTTAATAAATGTACGCAATCGTGTGTGCTACACACATATCAACAATAAACAAAAACAAAAGCAAAAGCAAACAGTTCTATTATTAAATTCTGTGCCTCTGAACTTGACTGTCATTTGAATGAACGTGTGAGTGGGTGTGGCCAGCGAGTGTAAACAAATGCCAGTGCTCGACTATTAGATACCCCTAATCCAATATACTGTACTGACAATCTCTTTTCTGTTTTTATACCGTTGAAGAGGGTATTATAGCTATGTTGTGAAATGTGCTACACATAGAAGAAGGCATCTCCGACCCCATAAATTATATATATTCTTGATCAGCATCAACAGCCGAGTCGATATAGCCATGTCTGTTTCTATTGCTCGTAGTTCATATGTCGGAACCAGCTGGATCGGAATACTATATCATATAGCTGCCATGGGAACGATCGATCGCAAAGTAGGTTCTTGCATGGAAAACTTTTTTGTTTTACAAGATATCCTAACCATACTTCTTCTCAGATACGGGCAAACTACAATGATCATTATGAAATGGTTGGGTCTGCAAGCGTTTTAAATCTTCTGCATGCCGGAGATAGTCCTTCTTTATCGTTTTTATTGTTTATAAATTATTAAAGACATGCTTTCGGACTATAAGGTGCATAGACTTCCGCTAATATATATATATATATATATATATATATGTATATAAATTTAAAACAAACTGTTTATTGGAATCGTCATACAAAATTGCCTTGTGATGCTCGTAATATTTAAGATTAAAGCGATTATATAGTATAATACAGATCAATACAACTTAAGGTGTTGTTTAAGAACACGGTATGTACTTTATAAGGGCCCAGTCTTCAGCTTCTGCAAGTTGCTTACATTTGCTCAAGTTAAAGACTTTCTTTTTATATATCCATTTTAAATAATGTATAAGAGAATTTCTACGTAGATGTATATATTTTCTGATAAAACTATATTTCGTTTTTATTAGTATCTAAGACTTTAAAGATATCACAAATTGTACATAATTATATATATTACAGGAATAAGCACATAAATATATTTCACATGTGACTATGTTTTTATCTTAATCTTATTTTTAAGATTTACTTATCATATGTTTATAGTATCGATAGCAGCAAGAATCTAAATCTAGTTTCCAGCTCAACTCTCAGTTTAGTCTCTGGCAAAATCCAAGCCCCCCCCCCCCCCCCCCTAATCCCACCTGCTCTCATATTGATCACCCTTTAATCCCGATTATAATTGATCTATAAAGATCACACCTAGTCCATTACTTGAAATGATCAATTCAACTCAAATACCTAGCATGCTCGTACCTAATCCAATAGAGCCGGATGTATCCTGATCTGTGCACGGATTGTGATCACGAAACTAATCTTGAGCATAGCGCACGATCCATCGGGCCATGGCAACGCTTGGCTTATCTCCGTTTAGCGGAACGGGACGATAAGCACGTTGGCAGAAGTTGCATTCGAAGTTTGGTTAGGATGTGTTTTTCCCTGATGCCACAACGTCGCCATCTAATGAGGCGCCTCTCCATATGTTGCCGTGCTCGCGTCAGCTCGTGAAATTCCCTCATTAATCAAAGTATGAATATGACGCCATATCCTTATTGTTTGCTCTAATTATGCTCAGGTATATACAGATAGTAAAGCATCGCAGACATGTTCCATGAATGAAACATGAACTGGCTGGAAATGTGCGATATTTAATTATTTTACAATATCTTCTTTGAACATTTATGATCATTGCATTGTTTTAGGTAGGTGCTACTTTATGACGCCGACGCCGATGACGATGCCGCTGCCGGGGCCGAATCCGTTCCGAATGCGTGGAAAATCCCGCGCTCGTTATTTGACAAACATGCGGGGAAAGTCCCAATCCAAGGCGGCTGCTAGCCTAAGTGCCAGCCTACACAAATAAGCTTGTGGATTTTTTATGGCCTTGCCGCGCCCGGCAGCCCACCTACCACCTACCTGACAGCTAGCCGGGCGCAGTTTCCTGGCAAAGCGCATTTATGAATGAGTCCCTGGTAGCACGAGTCGTGAATGAATCTCTGTTTAGGCGCACTACAATTTTATTACAGGTACTAAAACCACCTACGAGCACGGCCCTAAAACCCTACCCAACCCGATGCAACCCGAATGCAGCCCCGCAGAAATGCACCCGTTGCATTCATTAGCGTTGCAGAGAACAAAGCATCTTGCACTTAATCCTAATGATTTCCCTTTTGTTTCTAATGACGCAGCGGTAGGCTTATGTGGGACGAGCAGCGCTCTCTTCAACTATGAAGCCACAGTTCACAAGAACCGCGATTAATACAACAAAACAATCGATTAATAACAGCATCAATATTAAATGATTCTTTAACAAAATAACTGTGAACAACATCAATTTAACTAACATGATTTTTACTATTACTATGGGAGAATTAATTTATCAAAAATTAGCAGCTTCATTATTTTATAAAATTTGTTTATTTAATTCTTTCAATTATAAATTACTTAATTAAAACATGAATAATGAATATAAACAAATATATCCAAAATAAACAAACGAATTAATTAAGCAACTTTTTTTTAAACTAATACCAATTAAATATTATAAATATATGTACAATCCATTTTAGGTTTAAGCAAACCTTAATAAAAACTTGAATAATAAAATACATATTAAATTATATTTATTCATATAAGTTGATATGACTTCTCTACGTATTTTCCTGTCAAATTAAACAAACTGATTCGTTCTTCAGCATTTTCTACACAAAAGCAAGTTAATTTTTTAAAATGTTATAAATACGATCAAAAATTTGCTTTCGCTAGAAAATGAGATACAGAAAGACAAAACGTATGCAGGAAAACCAGATGCATATAATCTCAATGCATCAAAATATCTTTTAATGCGCATATTCAAGTTAAAAAAATTTTAGCACAAGACAGTTGAATGCTGTCAATATTTTTTTATGTATTTGCACTATCTATTTTCAGCTATCTGAATATTGTATAAATCGAGCTGAAAACTATGCCAGAACATTTGTCTAACCAACACCAGCTATCTTTTAATGTATCTATTTTTTTTTCTTTTTTGCATATCTCCATTTTGGCAAACGCCTACCAAGGGCCGCAATATATCCATGTCATCCCCCAGAGCTGGCCCGGGCGATAAGCTTAAAGCAACTGTACCATTTTACATGCTCAAACCTTAACTCAAACCCCAAAGAGAAAATTATTGAAGCCAAAATTTGCTTCGTTTAGAAATCTCAGCGTATTCTTATACATATATAGGATACACATTTTGCATATTTAAAGCAGAAAAGTTGCCACAAAAGACGAAGCAGAGGCGAGCAACCCCCAGAACGAAGCACTTAATTCAATAATAAATTGCCGCCACACAGAAGGGCAGCAGCTAAGGCAAGCCCCGAATCAACCCAGTCAGAGCCCACAGATAACCAAGTTACAGCTCAGCTTTGTTTAGCGGCGGGTGCGGGGCCACGGGCCGGGGGGCCGCAGACCAGACCAAACCAGCCCAGCCCAGCCCAGTTTTGCGCCTCAGAGACAACAACTTTTATCAAATTGCGTATAAGGGGGTTTGTCGGTAGGTAAGCGTAAAATTCATAATCATGAACGCTTCGCTTAAACTTCCACCCCGTTGGGAGTTACAAAAGGCAAATAGATACTTCCTTACATATGTATATACTTAATAAATATAGACGCGCAGTGCTGGGAATATGCACATTAAAAGCGAAAGTCAAGATGAAATACACGAGTACATTATATACAAGCCAGCGCGTGTGTGCGTGTGTGTGTGTGCGCGTGAGTATCTGTGTATTTGAGCCTGCGTGAGCGGCCATTGTTGTGCGCTGCGAAAAACAACCCTGAAGCGTGCCTCTCGCTCACACAGACAGATAGGCAGCAAATCGATGAATGGAGTGTGCGTAACTCTGTGTGTGTGTGTGTGTGTGCTTGCATAGGTAGGCCGCTAGGTAGGCCTACTGGCAAGGACCTTTGCGTCCAATCTCTTTAAATTGTGCGCCGCTCGGCCGGGAGAGTTCAGTTCGAGTTGAGATCTTGTAACGCACACACACAGCTCCGGCTAAGCAATCGCAAGCCAAGTGTTCCTCCGCCCAATTAACGCAGTGATTTTCTAATTTAAAACGAAACAAATAAAAAAGAAAACGAAACGAATTATGTCGACAATTAACATGCACCCACCGCAAACGTATTCGCGCCTGTTCCGTCCGTGGGATACGCAACGCCAAACGCCAGCGCCGCCCGCCCGGACCGTGAAACGTGAACGTGAACATGAACCCGAAACAGTGACCATCAAAACGGAGCTGCCCAGCAGCAGCAGCAACAGCAGCAGATGCTGCTATGGCCAGGATAGCGATCGCGAGTCCTCCTCATCCGCGTCGAGCTCGAGCAGCAGCAGCACCAGCAGCAAGTCCAGCTACGAGGATGCCCTCAACAGCAGCTACACGCGCACCTCGACTCCCCTGCTGGATGCCACGCCGCAGCCAGCGTTTCCAGGTGCCTCCGCGGTGGCGCCACAGCAGTTGTCGCCGCAGCCAGCGCCATTTATGCCAGCCAGCGAGCTGTACTATGCCGCAGCAGCAGCAGCTGCCGCCGCTGCCAATACACCGACCGCGGCTGCCTTTGGCATGGATCCATTTACACTGGGCCTGATGGAGCAGGAGTACGCTCGGGTCATGGCCGAGGATGCGCAGCTGAAAGCGCTGAATGCACGCAAACAACGGCCCAAGAAATTCAAATGCCCGCACTGTGATGTCGCCTTCTCCAACAATGGCCAGCTCAAGGGACACATTCGCATACACACCGGTAAGTTAAACGCAGCCAAAAGATGCTCAACTTGCTTTACTAACTGGGCTTTATTTCATTATGCTTACAGGCGAGCGACCCTTTAAGTGCGACGTGGAAACCTGCGGCAAGACCTTCACACGTAACGAGGAGCTGACCCGGCACAAGCGCATCCACTCCGGACTGCGGCCGTATCCGTGCAGCGCCTGCGGCAAGAAGTTCGGTCGTCGCGATCATCTCAAGAAGCACATGAAGACGCATATGCCGCAGGAGCGCCAGCTGGGACCGGCCATCTTTATGCCCATGTATCCCTACCTGTATGGCTACTAAACAGTTGACCTCAGCTGTTCCAGCTCCAGCGATCTGTGAAGCGCTTGCACGCTTTAAACACGCTACAAGCCCAACTAACTACCAACAACAACAACAACAACACGAAGCAACTCAATGCCGGCCAAGAAATACTCTGTCTTAGAGCATCTACCTCAGGCGTACCTGGCGCAAACTGGCGCAGACAACACACACACACACACAAAACAAACAAACTACCTCTGAAGACGATATGGATATCCGTGACGATATATATATATGCAAATATTGAGCTATTTATTTTTTAATGAATATTTACATTTCCACTACGTGACGTGAGGTAGAAGCGTCGAAAAAAACCCACACATGTGTAAATAAATCCTTAAGTGATCCTTTCTCATATGCTAAGCGATTAAGAGTTTTAAGAGACATTCTACATATTAGATAACTAAGAATATTTTTCACATTTTTATATGCTGAATGCGGTTAATAGCAATATATACGATTTACATTTAAAACATCTAGTTAAATATTCAGAGCTGTATTATACGATTTATGTTTACACAGAAATTAAAAACAACAACAACTACTACATAAAAGTTAAAAAAAAAAAAAAAAAAACAAATTTGAGTAAGTTCTTTTAACTAAACAAAAGATCTCTGAGCTGTTGCACATTTCAAATGGGAAATTAATTATTTAACTTCTCTTGATATTTCTACAAAAAAATGTTCCCCGTTTATATGTTTATTCACGACTTAGCGGCCATTTTGAGCGTGCATTGATGACTGTCACTTCCCGCTAACCAGATCATTTTTGGGCAAATTAATCGCATCATGCTGCGGCGAAAATCAAAGCAAAAATCTGCAGTTTGCATTCGTCGGCACATTTGACGCATTCTCAGCAAAAGGGTTAAAACTCACAAGTCATTTGCGAAAAATTCATTCATAAAAACGGCCAAAGGCAACTAGAGAAAAAAGGAAAACCATTAATTTAGGCCCTTAACTTTTCGGCCAGAACCTAATCATTTACTGTACTTATTTGTAGCTATATATATGTATATATATAAAACTGACTGATTTGAGCCCAAAGCGAGGCAATTTTCTCACAGTCCCCGGCCGAATCAATTGCAATTGTTCACGTATCCTTGCCATTACTCACACGCCAGCTTGCGTCATTCATAAGGACAAAGAGCGGCCCACCTGAGCTAGTAAGTGCAACAAGATAGACACAAAGTCTGCTCTGACAAAATGTTGGAATTTATATGTAGCCCAGGTCTCTGTAATATCAATGTGACTTCTACGTGCGCACAATAGCTGCAATTTTGTTAACCGTAACAACAGAAAGGTGGGCACTGGCTCTCAACCTTTTTACGTACAGGCAGACAATGGCAATAAGGTCGCTTGATAGAGGCGTGCAGGTCTCGCATCTAGATCTACCTGTGCCCTCTGGTCAGTCCTGAGAAGATTTTCTGGCAGACAGTGCGACGTCGTCGTCGTGGCACAATGATCTAACTAATAATGTGTCCCATTGATTCCAATAATTCTGTTTGCAGCAGACACAGCGGCTACACCTCGAGCACTTGGCCAAACCGAACCCAAACGGCAACAAGTACAAATACCCATTTCTCAAGATGATATGCTTTTCGTCAGCATCACGAATTGTTGTCGTCGACATCGATGTTTGCCAAGTATTGTACCCCAAATTGCTGCCAATTAATTAGAGCATTCGTACTTTCTGTTTGATTCTGAAGTGTGGGAAGATACTTTAATTTCCTATATACATAAATATATATCATTCAACTGCTTATGTCAATCGCACGCACAAGTGTCTTGAGTTATGGCCAACAGCTTGAACATATATGTATTTGTCTTTACACTTAAGCAGGGAGATTGATGCAGGACAAAAGCTGGCAGAGCTCATATTCAAGATTGCGTGTCTTTTGTTACAACTGAAGATCAAAAATGTTATATGCACAGTTTCCAATAATTATTAGATCTCTTTTGTTATCAGCTTATGTCCCTGTATCAATATCAAAGTCCTTAAAACATATATTTTGCTAACGCGTTTTAAGAAACCGATATTTATCGATATTTTTAGGTCCTCCAATAACAAAATGTAATTTTTACAATATCTAAGCATATATGGAATATCTTATTTGCTATTATTTTCTTTAAATCTCAATCAAATTAAAAAAAAAAAAGAAATTACATCCTCGACATGTTCACCTAAAAGTTTATTAGCTAATAGCTTATCCAAAAGATTAAACAAGCAATATCCGACGCTTATTAAATGTATTCATAAAGTGATTTGTGAAATTTATCTCTAATTGATTATAAACTATTGATTTTTATACCCTGAACCCATTAAAAATGGGTACAAGGGTTTATTGTATTTGTGCGAAAGCCAAATGTATGTAACAGGCAGAAGGAAGCATCTCCGACCCCATAAAGTATATATATTCTTGATCAGCATCAATAGCCGAGTCGATCTAGCCATGCCCGTCTGTCCGTCTGTCCGTCCGTCCGTCCGTATGTATGAACGCAAGGATCTCAGAACCTATAAGAGCTAGAGAATTTTAGATGTAGATGCTCCTGGTTCACGCGCAGATCGAGTTTGTTTCCGATAATCGATAACTTCCTTCGTGTCCAAGCAATCGATAAAAATCTATATCGATATCCTGTTTTTTTGGCCAATTTTGGTAAATAATAAGTCACTGAACTTGACATATAGCTTCTAAAATAGAATATATATATGCATTTGATGTTGAAAGAAAAGGGTTCAGGGTATCCCCTAGTCGGGAGCTCCCGACTAGAACCTCTTACCTTTGTTCATGGTTTGACCTCTAGATCAATTTGGCATCAAAAACTGGCAACAGTATTTTTGGTCAAAATTCATGTAAAAATTGTACCATCAAATATCCTATACAGACATAAGTCAAAATTTCCCAACCCCATATCTCGGTCAAATCTCATCCGATTTTCATAAGGTTTTGCTTTTGTTCATGGTTTGACCTCTAGGTCAATTTGGCATCAAAAACTGGTAACAGTATTTTTGGTCAAAATTCATGTAAAAATTGTACCCTCAAATATCCTATATAGACATAAGGCAAAATTTCCCAACCCCATATCTCGGTCAAATCTCATCCGATTTTCATAAGGTCTGACTTTTTGTTCATGGTTTGACTTCTAAATCAATTTGGCATCAAAATCTGGCAACAGTATTTTTGGTCAAAATTCATGTAAAAATTATACCCTCAAATATCTTATATAGACATAAGGCAAAATTTCCCAACCCCATATCTCGGTCAAATCTCATCCGATTTTCATAAGGTCTGACTTTTTGTTCATGGTTTGACTTCTAAATCAATTTGGCATCAAAATCTGGCAACAGTATTTTTGGTCAAAATTCATGTAAAAATTGTACCCTCAAATTACTTATATAGACAAAGGTCAAAATTTCCCAGCCCCATCATTCGGTCAAATCTCATCCGATTTTCATAAGGTTTTGCTTTTTATTCATGGTTTGACCTCTAAATCAATTTGGCATCAAAATCTGGCAACAGTATTTTTGGTCAAAATTCATGTAAAAATTGTACCCTCAAATTACTTATATAGACAAAGGTCCAAATTTCCCAGCCCTATAACTGGGTCAAATCTCATCCGATTTTCATAAGGTTTGACTTTTTGTTCATGGTTTGACCTCTAAATCAATTTGGCATCAAAATCTGGCAACAGTATTTTTGGTCAAAATTCATGTAAAAATTGTACCCTCAAATATACTAATTAGACATAAGTCAAAATTTCCCTACCCCATAACTCGGTCAAATCTCATCCGATTTTCATAAGGTTTGGCTTTTTGCTCATGGTGTGATCTCTAAATCAATTTGACAGAACCTATAAGAGCTCGAGACTTGAAATTTTAGATGTAGGTGCTCCTAGTTCCCGCACAGATCGAGTTTGTTTCCGATAAGCGATAACTTACTCCGTTTTCAAGCAATCGATAAATATCTATATCGATATCCTGTTTTTGGGCAATTTTGGTAAATAATAAGAGCTAAAGTCACCAAACTTGACATATAGCTTCTAAAATAGAATATATATATGCATTTGATGTTGGAAGAATAGGGTTCAGGGTATCCCCTGGTCGGGAGCTCTCGACTAGAGCCTCTTGTTTATAATGTGCAAGGCCTATTAGCTTTCGATGCTTGGTTTTTTGTACTTTTCCTGAATTTTAAATGAAATTTTGTTAATTTTTTGTTTATATATTTTTTGTTTTACAATTTTGGCGATAACATCATATATATAGATATTTCAGAAATTTTCTATACAAAAGAAAATATTATATAAAAAAAGAGCTTATAAGAAATTATATTTTAAATATTCCGCAATATGGAAATTTAATTTGTCAGCCAATCCCATATAATATAAAGATAAATAATCTACTCGTAAGCCACAGTAAATATAATCTAATTTCACTGAAGAGTCATTCATTGCACAATATTTATGGCATAAAGATGTTCAGCACATTTCACAGGAATTATAATCGAAATGAAAAATAATAATTGGCCAACTATAAAAGTAAACAAGACCGTATTGTGGCAGAACAGTCGGAGAGACAAAGTCACATCCTAACAAGAAAGTAGTTTGGCTATCAATAACCCAACGACGTCTTGGGACAATTGCCACGTAGGAGGCACTGGGCTAACTGCCATTCATGACCACAAAAAGGCCAAACAAAGGTCATCGGGTGGTCCACACACAATTTTGCAAATAGATAATTGCCAACAAGCAGCAGCAGGACGAGATCTTGCACTTTCCAACCAGGCCACACAGAAATTGAAATGTCTTTTGTGCCCTAATAGAGAAATATACGGGCCATAATTTCGCAATGCAACAATAGTAGTGCAATTGAATGGGCAGTGCAAAAAAGTCAACTAAATAAAAGAAGAGAGCAGTGCATAAAATAGAAGAAAAAAAAAATGGAGTTCCTGATTCGATGGGTATATCAGCGTAGATAACCGATTGCTACCTTTCACAGCGCCAGTTCTCGGCCAAGCAAAGTGCGTCGATGGGTTTCAACCCCGTCGAGGAACAACCCTCATCCCCTATGCGCACACACACACACATATACATACATACACCCAAGGGCTGGCAGGGGGTAGTGGCAGTAGTGGTAGCCCGTTGCCTGTACAAAGTGTCAGAGGATCCATTTAATTGGGAAATTTATTGGCCAGCAGCAGGATTCGGAGACAGCCTGTCTGGGCCTCTTGTTGGCATTCTTCGGCTCGCATGTTTGCGGTTGCTGGAAATGCTTTCACAAGATGGAAAGGTAGACTAACCCATAAAAAACAAAAACAAACCAAAACTAAAGACAAATTCGTGTAAAGAAATGGATTTGTATCGCAAACACGAGTAAAGTGCCACGCAGTTGCCTAAAATATGTCGCACATTGCGACGTGTGTGGCTGGCATGTTGGTATTTCAATGCTATATGTGATTTTGTGTTCGTTCCGATTATGAGACTTTCCCGCTAATTATATTTGTACAGGCCACACGCTTCAGAGCCAGACGAGCTACTTATCAACAGGCTGCTTACAATCGGCGATTTGCGATCGTATTTTCCAAGCCCAAGTCTCGGCTAATCCTAGGCGGAAAAGTGGGTATGTCCCGACACACGCTAAACGATGCGTTTATCTGCATAAACACACTCTTAATAAGTCGATTGTCTGCAACCTAATCTCCTTTGCTGCTTCGACTCAACGCACCTAATGAGCGTATCTTTCCATTATCTCACACTGCAAATGTATGCAATTTGGAACCTAATCCTAACGCCGGGACTTGCACAACTCTGCGCAAGAGATAGTTACACACAAACACACACATGTGTGTGTGTGTGTTGAGAGACCTATGGACTTATATGGTTATTCCGCGCACATGGCCAGAGGTGAGCCATAATCTGTTTGGTCAGATAAACCACACTCAGATAGTCCCCGGACAGATAATGGGGAAAGATGTGCAGCAGTCGGTTTCCAACACTTTGGACTTGGCTTTGGCTTTGCGCCGATTCACCCTCAATTAAAAACACGTTCATCATTATTATGCAATTGCATTCAAATCGAAACCAGAAATCGACCAAAACAACAACATGCAGCGCCCAGCTGGACAACATGCCCAAAAGGTAAACAGTAGGTGGTGCCGGAAGTGTCACAAAATTCAAAACAAACGGCCGTTTTGTCTCTATTGCAAAGGTCGCTCTGCCGTTTCCCAAACTAATCAAAACTAATGATGACATAATTGGCTCGATTGGGCCAAAGGAAGCAGCCCAGTCCCGTCCTGTTACTTATGGGCATGCAATCGCATAGAAATAGGAAGTGGTTGTCGCAGCACAAGACAAAGCCACACGCACACACACACACACACATTGTCCTGGCAAGGAAACAGACATCAGTCAGGGGTCCTCAGAAACCGAACAAGTTAAAAAAAAAAGAAGCGATAGAAAAAAAAAAAGGTAATTGATTCGTTTGCAAAATGCAATGCGATGACACTTGGATTTTGTTGCCCGCGGTGTGGTCCCGTTCAGCAATTAGCCGGAACGTTATAATTACAATGAGGAAATTGTTGTGACATTTTGGTAAAAAGTCACAAGTCTTGAGCAATTCATCAATGAACTGCCACATGGACTGCTTTCCTTTTTCAAAAATCGTTTTCTACAACATTCTCTTGTCTCCATTCCTGCCCGTCACGGATGTTGCCCCGCGGCGTAGCGTGTGCTACCGTGCAGTCGAGCTTCCCGTGCGGGCAACAATAACAAAATTAAAAAAAAAAAAAAAACAAAACTCTTAAATAAGTTGTAGCTTAACAATGACTGTTGTTTTATTTGTATGCACATAAAACACAATTACGCTGCTCAGAAGCAGCAGAAAAAGGGTATATATAAAACGAGTATAAAGAATACATTCGAGTATAAAATGCCATGAAATACTTGTATAAATAGTACGTGTAAAAGTTGTATCGTGCGTTTTGTTTCAAGTTTTGTTGTGCAATTCAAATGCTTATCAGACTTGAGCAGGCCTTAAACATATGTACATATGTATGTTGACTTACGGACTACGAGAAAGATAAGAAAATAATATATATATATATATTCGATATTTATAATGTGGCATGCAGAGGGCATCTTTAAGTAAGGCACAAACAATTGAGCCGCTGAGATTATGTGGTGCTCGTTACTGCAACGCTTGATCGAACATTTCCATTTGAGGTTACATTAGGATTATACTTCCGGCCGCCTTCTGCCTAGTACAGCATTATGGCCGCCTGATTCTTGTCTTTGCTTGGCGGCTCCGAGCGATGACGATCGCGATTCTCACGGCGTCTGGCATACAGCAGAATTGTTATGTTCAACAAGACCACAATTGACGAAATAACAACCAGATAGAAGCTGTAGCCCAGATGGGCCAGACCGTTGCTGTACCAATGCTGTTGCTGGTGCTCCGCCAAGAGCACATTGTGTGTGAGATACTGATAGAACTGCACTAGCCAGGCCAAAAATGCAATCACCTGCGCACAAGCCGCCGACACGTTGGACGCCAGTAGGAGCACCATGGTGCCGCCTTTTTTGGCTGCTGACGCTGACTTAAACACGGCGGCTATGGCTGCTATGGCGCATGCCAACAGCCCGAATCCAGTGCCAAGTGTGGTGAGCAGCCATAGCCAGAAGCTGGTGTCGCCGTGTTCGGTGCGAATGAAGTTATAAACTGTGGAAAAGCGACGATTAAAGTAAAGCACAGCGAATTAATATAATTGCATAGCTCACCCTCAATCTGAGTGGTGCGCACACCAAAGCCGGGATTCAAGTGATGCTGCCCATAGAACAGGCCAAGGTTGACATCACCCTTGGCTTCCGTCGAATTGCCGCGCCGCGGATAGGCGCGCACCCAATGATTGGTTGTCATGCTGGCCAAAAGTAATCCTATGGCCAGACAACTGCCAAAGAATGTTGAGAACACAAGGGCACGCGTGCGTAAGCTCATCTTGCTGGATCTGTGTATTGGGGAGACAGGTGCAAATGTACCAAATCAAAAGACTCTAGGGACAAACTAAAATTGAACGTTTTGCTGCACTATTGTGATTGTGACGTCACATTGCGCATCTCTTTTGTCCCATGTAGAGTACAACCTTTCAGTTCTAGCTGACATGGGCCCAGGCTACAACAAAGAAAGTGCAACGCAAAACAACAACAAAAGCAGGGCCCAGCCAATTCACTCACCTTGCGAAAGTGGCTCTGTGGAAAGGGACGCAGACGCTGTCGTCGTTGTTTTCACAGCCGTCTTCCTCAATGTATCTATGTATCATTTGCAGCGCACTTATATCATATTTTGAGCAATTTATGCGTATTTTGCGAACACTTTCGCCGAACAATTCTTTGTTTCTTTGATTTTTTGCTTTTAATTTAAAATTATGATTTTCCCAGCCTTTTTGATCAATTGTTGTTGTGTTTTCCCTGTGACTTGTCAGTGTTGACTAATGTGTAATGGTGCTGGAAAACAGCAAATTTCATAAAATGTCTGGCAACACTGCTACAAATGAAACAGCAGTGGCATATGGCAACGCCGCATACAAAAATAGCGCGTAATTTGTGCGTGAGAAAAAGAGAAATTCTTCAATAAATATGAGTAGCCGCAAGCACAAAGTAGCCGAAAATATTGAAAATCTGTGTCCAGTAGCCAGGTAAATATGTGCATCAATGAAAACAACATTTGCAAGCCCGCAAATCGTGTACGCCCGCCGAGTGCTGGAGTCAGCAAATGGCGCGAACTATTCCAGTGACGTCACATGTATTGCAAAATTAAAAAAGCAACAGCGAAACGGGGCCAGCACATAATTGAAAGGTGCTTGACCCGTGCTGACCAAGCAACTGACCCGTACTTGTACGCCCAGCACTTTTTAATAAATGCCCAACCTGTTACAGAAAACGCTCGACGAGTAAGAATAGTGCGGTCGGTGCAGCTGCTGTGTCCGCAACAAAAACATCGTCGCTTTACGAGCACACCTCCTCGCCCTCCGTGCTCACCTTTGAGGCACTCGAAGAGATGGGCATCGGTATGTTGGACTCGGAGGAGAGCAGCTCGTCGGCCCTCTCGGCAATTACGCTGGCTGTGAGCACCACCAGCGACGAGAACTCCAATGAGACGACACCCTGCACGAATGTGCCACGCATGGCACATCAACAGACGCGCATGAGTCTCAACTCGACGGCTTCGACGCTGGACAACAGCAGCATCAATAACAACACCATTATTGAGGTGTTCTGCGAGGAAAGCCAGGAGCGTTTGCTGCTGCAGTCAGCCGAGAAGCTGCACGCTCTGGCCCAGGCCAAGCGCACTGCGCTGGTCAGCAGCGAGTGCGGCAGCAATTCCAATTCGCCGAGCAAGCGCACCAGAAATCCTCTGGCCACAGTCACATGCAATAATCAAATTGAGTCGTTGCTGCCGCCGCCGCCGCTGCAGCAGCTACAACAGACGCCTCTCAGTTTGCTGCCCTCGACCAGCAAGCAGGCGTTGTTGCGGCAGAAGAAGCCGACGCCGACGCCGCCGCCGCCGACGACGACACTGACAACCCGACTGGGGCCTACTGACAACTTCTTTGTCTATCGCACGCCCTCGATGAGCGCGCACATCAGCAGCGGCATCAACTACTTTGATAGATTGTCCGACGAGATTTTGCTGGACATCTTCAAATGGCTGCCAAAGAAGACTTTGCTGCGCATCGCAACTGTTTGCCGACGCTTCAATTGCTGTGCGCGCGATGAGACGCTGTGGACACGTCTGGATCTGGGCTTGCGTACACTGCGTCCCCACGCCTTGGAGCAGGTGGTAAGACGCGGTGTTCCTGTGCTACGCCTGGCCCAGGCTGATGTAAGAGCAAACGATTTGTACACATTTCCAATGTAATCTAATCGTTTTCATCCCCCACAGATACAAGATCCAGCCTTTACGTGCGAATCATCGACAGATTTTCAATCGCGTCTGCAATATTTGGACTTGAGTCTTGCTTCGATTTCACTGAGCTCCTTGCGCACATTACTAGCCCAATGTCGTCAGCTAAGGAAGCTCAGTCTGGAGCATGCCGAGCTAAATGATGAGATTTGCTTTGAGATTTCGCTGAACAGTTCGCTGGAGACCCTCAATCTGTCCATGGCCAGTGGGATAACTGCTCAGAGCGTGCGTCAAATGATGGAATCGCTATCGAAACTGAACAGCCTAAACATCTCGTGGACTGATTTAAGCGCTGATGCCGTCACCGCGCTGGTTACTCACATCCCATCCAATGTAATCCGGTTGAATGTGGCCGGCTGCAGGCGTGTGCTGTTCGATACACGTTAGTAACTGCTCAAGGGCCATGCGGGAAACCATTTGACATGCATCTTCCTCTTCTTTCAGATGTTGTAACACTGCAAAAACGCTGCCCGCAGCTGCTGGAACTTGATCTTTCCGACTGCAACAGTCTGACGCCGGCAGCACTTGCGGCAATCATGAAATTCAACAGTCTTGAGTATTTGTCCGTGTCGCGTTGCTATCTCATACCCGCTGCTAGTTTTATGTAAGATATCCAACAGATAATCTCGCAGTATCCCTTCTAACTCTCTGTTTTGTATCTCTCTCACCGATGCAGAGAACTCAAGAAGATGACTTCACTCACCTATCTGGACATTTTCGGCATGCTGTCGGATGCCGCCATGGAGGTGCTGGAGAAGCAAATGCCCAAAATAGGCATTAACAAGTTTATACATAGTTCGGTAGGACGCCCAACTGTGGGCACGCGCCGTACCTCCATCTGGGGGCTGCGCACCCGCGACTAAAGCTCCCATCAGACACTCATCAGACTATAAAATTTCTTTAATTCTTTTTCGTTGCGTTTATAAGCCGCCTAGCGCAGTTTTCGTATTTAATATAATGACAATAATTAAATGTCACGTTTAGCTTTTCAATATCAAGTTTTTCGTTTACTCGTCAACCTCGCTGGGTGGAGCGACTGGCTTCTCCCACGTCCAGTCATCCCAGCTAACGCAGTCCTTCAGGCTATCGACAAAACCCGTCTCATCCGGACAACGCACCTTGCTGGCGGGCTCATTGAGTGTCTCGCACTTCCAGTAGGACGTAGCATCCCAGTTATCACGGTAGATTCCAACGTCCAGCTCCTCCTGCGTCTTGCAACCCGGCTGACCATCGCCGTTGTAGGCGTTGGCCAAACCGCATGCAGCCACTAGAACCAAACAGATTGTAAGCTGAAGTTTCATTGTGCCTCAACTGATGCCGTACTCTTGGACAAGTGTCACCTTTTATAGTCACCTTGGCGGTGTGATAAGCCAACTCAAGTGCAATCTTTACGTGAAAAAGCTTTTAAATATTGGCTGGTATGCAAACAATTGGCAACAACGTGGCGGAACTTGTAAGACGTAGTTTATACAAAATAAATGATTACAGCTGCAAAACTTAACAGCTTGCTGTTTCCTCGGCTTATCCTCGCTGCCGAAAATAGAAAAGCCTAAAGAATAATTTTATATATTTTATTGCTCGAGTAATATGCACATTCATATATTTAAGGCTTTTGCCTTTTATAAGTAACATGTATATTGTATATATAATTATTGATTAAAATGGTATTTTATTAAAATAAAATAATAGAATAATAGAAAAGTATCATTACTGTTATTTTATTAACGCAAAAGTAAAAGAAAGGCATAATGTATGGCATTTAAGTTGGAATATCGCTGATTTAAACGTACGATTTTTGGCGCCAGTGATTTTTAGACGTAACAGTGACTGCCATCATGGAGTTGCCACATCGTTGGAAACAGATGCATGCAATGAATATTTAAGAAAAAACGACCTAAATATGCCAGAAATACCTGCTTGGCACTATTTGGCATTAGTTTATTTTAGTACTGAATATTTGTTGGTTTCGTGTAAGCTTTGTGTCCTACTGTCAAAAACATATTACATTTACATAACTTTTGATCACAACTCAATACAAAATTTTGTTTGTTATAGTATAAACACCATAACATTTTCCAAAGGATTTGCAACAAAATTAGCTAATAGTACCAACAACTGCGCCATAGACGTAACAAGAAAAAACAACAACAACAACCTGTAAGACCTTGAAATCAATAGCTACACGCATATGGATTCGACGGGGACGCTAATCAGACTCATTTTTGTTTCCAGTAACTCCAAGTGGAACTATCTACAGTTAAACAAGCACAATGTCAATGAGACGCTCAATGTCCAGCTCGAGCGCTGCCGAGTGGCGCAATTACTTTATGAGCACCCACTTCTGGGGGCCAGTCGCCAATTGGGGTATTCCAATAGCTGCCATCGCGGACACCTCCAAGCATCCAAAGTTCATCTCCGGCCGAATGACATTAGGTAAGGCAATTGGCTGCAAACCCGTTTATCAACAGCAGCTGCTAAAAATTTCCATAGTCTGCGGTAATCAGAGCTCTTGCCCAGACACATTTGTTTATGATACTTAATTCTGTGCTAATCAGAACGCAGGCACGCGCGATAAGCCTGATACAGGCGCATGGCGTGTGCCCAGCCGAAATGTTGGCTGATTGGTTGAATCGTATGCGCATCTAATTGGGCTTACCTTATTCTAATTGGCAGCTCTGACGCTCTACTCGTGCATCTTCATGCGCTTCGCCTACAAAGTGCAGCCCAGAAATTGGCTGCTTTTCGCCTGTCACGCGACAAACGCTACGGCTCAATCCTTTCAAGGCATACGCTATCTGAGGTACATCAACTCCCAGGAAGCAGCCGCATAATATGACAACAACACGGCTCGGCCAGCGCGCGATAACATTGCCAATACCTGAACAACAACAATGAGACCCACTGCAATCCAATCAGCCGACACGCAACAGCCCAATATGATTGCAGTGCGCCCTGCTCACGGCCTCCTCGAGCTGCCGGAATCTCATCTGAAATTGGAGCTCGCCCTGGCTCCAATCTCTGTTCTCTGTTCATCGCGCGTTGGACACCAAGTGGCTGCAGAGCGTCAGGAATGGACAATAGTTCCCGTGGTTTTGGTTAAAAAAAAAAAAACAAAATTTAAAATAGTCTAATATTTGAGTCAAAAGTTTTTATCATTTTACTTCTTGTTATAAATCCCAAGTGCAATAAACAAATGAAGAACGACTTTAAAAATTGACTAAATAAACAATTAAAAAAAAAAAACAAATTAAAAATTTAATGAATTGTTTATGTGTTCTGTTTAAACTATTTAATAAAACAATTTATTTTATGCACATATTTTTCAGTTCAGCGAGAAATGAAAATTCGAACCAGATCGTGTTAGCCAGTGTCTACTGTATCTCATTTTTAGAAAGCTTTGAGAGTAAAACACGCAGATTAATTAGATTTTGCAATGACCTTGAGGGCATGCATTTTATTTGAAACGTTTATAAGTATATAATATATGTATATATATATTAAACATGTGTGTGGAATATATTTATGCATTCTTAACAATATATCAATTTTTTTTTGTTCTATATATTTTTTGTAGTTTTTTTTTTTTGTAACAATTTTTGTTTTCTTGTTAAAACGAGTATATATTTGTAATTGTAATTAATCGCTACTTCATTTTTTTTCTTTTTTTGTCGTTTTCGTTTTGACGTCAATTACGAGCTTGAAGATAGGTTTTGTTTTTGATTACAATTATTATATATATATATATATATAACATAGGTGTTAAAAACATGTGGTTAAAAAATTTGACAATTTGCAAACATAATAAAACGTACTAAATACAAAAAATTTTAAAAACCGTGCGCATTCTATGTGACGCCTTTGAAAGTGTAAGTATGCATAATCACTTAGTTGGTAACAAAAAAAAAAAAAAGAAAAATTCAAAAAGTTTTCCATCAATTTGTTCGAACAATTGATAATCTGTTCGGTTTAAGTTTTTTGTGTTTTGTTTTTTGTGCGGCTCTGTGTGTGCCGCACACATTACAGCGACTCCTTCAACGACAACAATTCCTTCTGCTTAAGAATGGATGAATACTAAGCTTAATTTAACAACTAGAGCTCTGCGTCGCAATATGCAACACTCGAGAGGTACGAGAGTTTGACTGACTATGGCATGGCTATGAGAATCTCAGTGGTCCGGCTCGGGCTTGACATACGTGCTATTCCTATGATAGTTTCGCTTGAGGTATTCCTGGTAACGCCTGGCTTCCCGCATGACCAGCTGCAGCGTGTATGTTAGTTGATCGTGTTCGGCCTGCAGGTCCTGCTCCTCCTTCATCTCCTCGAGCTCACGCTTCTTGGTCTTCCGGCGCGAGACGCGGCTGGCCTCGTTGTTCTTGATGCGATCTCGGTACGCCTTCGCGTCGTCCTCTGTCATTTGGGCCATCAGCTCCGGATCGGGTCCCTCCGCGTGCTCCTTGGCGGGACGTCCGCGCTTGCGCTTCGAGCTGCAGTTGCCAGTGATCGATGTTGTGACACTGAACTGCGATGTGCTCGCTGTGGAGAAGGCGGGTGACACGGGCGCGGTTATGAAGCCAGCAAAGCCCGTCTGGCAGGTGGCCTGATGCGAACGCGTTGTGCTGCTGACCGAATAATTGCTATTGGGCGTATTTGGCGCTGAGAAGTCGGGAAGTATGGTGAATGTGGTGTTATCCTCTGTGCTGCGCAGCTCCTCATAAATCAGATTCTGGTTGGTCACATTATTACTGACTGAATTGGCCTGCAAGTGAGAAAATTAGTTAGCTGTTACATTTGTATAGAAGGCTGTCGCTTACATCGTCAAAGTTGAGCACCTGCTCGATGATGTCGGGCGTGTTGATGACATCGGGCTGGCTGATGATCTGTGACTTGTTGATGTTAAGCAAGAGGTTGCTGCGCTTGATTGGCATCGACTCGGCTGTGTTCGCGAGACCCGCCGCAGAGGCTGTGCGCTTGACGCCCAGACACATGCTGGCTGGTGGGGCATGGGCATCCTGGACGAGCACAGCACTGCAGGCATCCTCGTTGACACCATCCAGCTGGCTGATGCCGATGCCGAGGCCGAAGCTGAGCGACTGCTGACTGACGTTAAAATAGTTTTCCATGCTGTTCTCATCCGCCAACATGGGCAGCTCGTAGATGCATTTGGTTTGGCTGGATGAGTAGAGCATGGAGCCTTGCGAGAAATTGCTAAGCATGGGATTCTCGGCGCTGGTCAGTATGTTGCCCAGGTCGGGCTCTTCGCCCAGATTGCTTGTGATATCGATGCCATTGCACATGGAGCCCATGTCAAGTGCCTCCTCCTCGCCCTCTTCCAATAGTTGAAACTGAAGTTCATCCATTCCGTTGATGTCGCTGTTAATGTTGTCGCTGTAATTGATATCCATGTCCAGATTGCACTGATCCATTTCCTTGCGCTCAATGTGATCCCCGGCAATCAGGTTTATATCAAAGTCAAAATCAAATATATCCGTCTCAGTACAAATGTCTTTTCCAATCTCCTCGCTTTTGTTGCTGCTGCTGCTCGTCGACGACGTTGCTTCTATATTTTCCAGATATTCTGAGAAAATACAAAACATTATTAATACCAGCCAATACAATTCACACGTGCATTCGCGTAGCTTTTCATAATTATTTTCACCAGTTGCCTTTGCAATGACCATCTTTTATAAGTATTTCGGCACATTCATTTAAGTATGCAATCGTCTAATAAGATTCCAATATGCCAACTAGAAGTTCAATTCAAAATATGCTGCATACTTTCAAGCGGCTGCCCAAAAAACAGACAGAGACGACTAGCTACACGCTGCAAGCTGACTCATTCGCTGTCTCGCTCGGCTCAACATTGTTGTGAAATTCAACAAGCGAAAACGAACATAAAAATACAATAACAAATTGCTGCTTGAAGCCGCATTAAAAACATTTAAATAAAAAGTAAATTGCCAAATTTTAGTTTAGTAAATTCAAGAAATTCAATTTTGCATAAAAATTGAAACATTCTAGCCATGTACCTAAATTGTTAACTTGCAATAAGTTTTGTATTGCATTCGGGCACAGCTAGAAAAGAGGCACGTAAATACAGAGAGAACGCGAGCGGGAATTGCGCACATGATGTTTGCTCAAAACAGACATGATCGTGCATGTCTGCTTTGCACAGTGTTTGTGTTTGTCATATTGGCCAAAGGGGATGAAATCAAATCAAAGCTATTCGGTTTGTTTTTGTTGCTTGTGGTTTTAACTAAATTAGATTTTGGTGTTAATTATGTGATTATAACTTAATTTGTTGACGTTCTTTGAATAGGAGCATAAATTGATTGTCATTTCAAATTGCAAATTGCATTGCAGCGGGAAAAAGAATCTAAGGTTCAAGATAAAATGACAACACACTTGTTGCAGATTGGCTAAAGTATGCCAAGAAACAAGAACAAAAAAAGAACTAATTATTTTGTCACAAAAATGAAGTAAATCTCTAATAATAATTTGTATATTTTCGAGAAATTAATTGAAATTTGTCCAAAATATTATTTTTAGCATAAATATTCACCTTTTGCACGGCTTTGGAAACGGCTCTGCGCGCCGCTGTGAAGCGCGTTCTTTACGTATCAAACGGCCAACGACAACTGACTTCGTGTTGCAAACACTCGCTTTTTATGCGGCTGTGCGATGTCGGAGATCGCGAGAGCGCACGAACAGCAGCTCACTAACACATATGCACAACCTGCCCTACGCCAACAAGTGTTATTGCGCACTGCTGTTGTCTTGCTCTGGCCAACGTGTGTCTTACAGGAACTTGTTCTTGGACAATTACACTGTGTTTGGATGTATCTGACGGCCGTGTTACCAACCTATTATGTCTGACTGTGTGTAGTTTTGGCGATTTAATGCACCAATACGCTTGCATTAGAATTTCACCAGAGCGACAAAAGCTGTGCGAATTAATGTAACATGTAGCCCAAATGCTTAACTAGCAAATGCACTTATGCAAAGTATTCAATTAGCTTTGCTTGATAATTATACGAAATTATGTTTATCTACCCTGTTTATCTACTCTTTTGCGTTATTTGTATTAAAATAAAAATAGAGCAGCATACGCCGCATCATTTTAATATGTAAATATGTACGCTCATATTGAGTGCTATGCATAAAGATACATCATAAATATGTACATAAGCTGCCCTTCAGGAGTACAACTATGCGTATGCGCGATGCAAAAATATCTGTGTGCATTATGTCTATACAAATGTATGGTTGTGTGTGCGTGTGTATGCTCAGAGAACACAACTGCCGGCCGGCACAAATCAGCTGTCTCGCTCTGTTGGCGCCAAAGAGCGAGACAACGCTAGTGTTTTGGATCGCTAAAATACTGAGAGAGCGTACACACACTCTTACAAGTGGCCCACACGAGGCTCTCTCTCTCTCATATTTTTGCACATCATGCTAATCGAATTTCACAACAATGGGAGCAAGGATTGAAAATCTAACTATTCAATGCCAATGTCTTCAAAATTAATAATTTGGATATTAAAGTATTTAACTATGTGTGTTATATATTGATGAAAATGCACGATGTACGTATTCACTTTCATACAATTAACACACGTCAACAAAAAAAAAGTAGTCAAATAAATCTAGGTCATGAGTAAGCCCTGGCCATTGCACTCGAATTATAACGTCTGATGTTTCGATAGCCAATGACAATTAAAAGAAACTAAAAATGCAGATAAATACATACATATGCAAGTACCAATACATATATAACAAACATCAAATGGGCTGGACTTTTGCGCGCGTCAATCTATTTGCTATTTGCCCATTTATGGAGACATTGTTTGATACCTAAGCGAATGTGATAAGGGAAAACACGGAGGGGCTTTTGGATTGGATCTTGCTGCAGCCAATTAAATGCCTTCTCGCGCTCTGTGAGCTGGTCAAAGTATCTGAAGATTCAAAAGTGGCGTGAGCTAACGGAAGTATGCGTTCTTACAAGTATTTGTATTCAATAGATACATACGTGTTAATATCAAGATGATTAATCGAAGGGGTTGAACTTGTTTAATAATATATATATAATATATTATATAATATAATATATAAAT